GTCATTATAGTGTTGCAGATAGGTAGAATAGGTTGATAAATCATTAAATCTCTTTATGAATTCCTCTTCTTCTAAATCTGGGTCTGGATGTATGAAACTCTTCCTCTTTCTCAGTATGAAAAGATGTTGGGAAATAATAGTTGAAGAATACCTTCTTGAATTTTTTCCAAGAATACCTCACACCACCAGTCGGCCTTACTGAATCCAACCATCTCTTGGCTGCTCTGACCAATTGAATTGTAGCTAAGGTCACTCTCTGCTCTAAAGTACAGGTCACCACCTTGAATATTGTCTCAAGATGCTCAATCCATTGCTCGGTTTCTCCTTCTCTCATACTGCCATCAAAAGTAGGTAGATTGAACCTCACATATGTCTTCCAGGCTCGGTCGACAGATGGATCTGTAGCAACTCTAACAATTTATCTACTATTCAAAGTTTGACGTGGCTCAGGTCTACTATGAACTTCTTCTAGTATTGGCCTCTCTTGAGCTTCTCTTTCCTCTTCTTGATCTCTTCCCCGCAATAAAACATCATGCTCTCTAATTGTTTGCTGGATATCAATCATCATATCCCTTAATTCTTTTAACAAGCCATCTCTTCTACCAACTTGTTGAGGCATATCTGGTTGAACCTTAGGCACAAGTTCATCCTCAATCGAATGCTTAGACACTCGGGTGCTACGAGTAGCTTGAGTACCTCTTCTTCTCATTTTCTCGCCTCCTAAGGATAAAAGTAGCAGAAAAGTTAAGGAAAAGGGAAAGAATGGTGTAATGAATAATATATAAGTTGCTAGAAGCTAGAATGAATGCAGAAAGAAAGCAAAATTGGATCGATACATTAGAGAAACTAATACCAATAATTTGTAATGCCCTCACTTACATTACCATACGCTCTACTATAAAAATCACTAATTACTTCTAATCTTGAGTTAAAAATTATTGAAGACATTGGGATCCCAATAAAAGATTTCTAGAAAACATTTTATACTCATTTGGGTTATTCAATCCCATACACGATTACATACACAGTGGAAGCATACAGATTGGGTACATCAAAAGTCAAGAAAACATGTGCGTCACTTAAAAATAAAGTGAAAAATTGCACCGTGCATCGTGACTTGTGCCACATGCACCGTGGATGTGGCACAGAGACCACAATCGCCTGGTCTATGCCGTGCGCTGTAGTATGTGAGTACATGCACCGCAACGCACACACCTAAATTTGTTATCAAATGGCAGTTTCTGATATGAAATTCAGATGCATGCCATTTCCACATATGAAGTCGGATTGGCATGATTCAAGCACCCATATGAAGATTATTTTGAAATCTAACTAATGACACTGGTTTCATCTTAATCAGATATTTCTATCAAAAATTGGATACTAAAGTGTACTTTTGACCATTTCCTGTCAAAGTTTTGCCACTTAAGTATCTTAATTTGAAACCAAATGTCATTAACCACTTTTTAGGCCTTGACCAAGTTCAAATGGAAAAAATACACCTAATTATCCATACACAAGCACAATATACACACATACACAAATTTGGCTTATAATCTGCCCATTTTACACTTTAGGCCAAAACCACATTTTCACATTTCTAGTATTATATATGGCTAAATCACTCATTTTTAATCTCTACCCATTTCATATACACATATAATTACATCCATTCACTAGCCTTTCCAGTCATCTTCTCATTCACATACATACAAGGCTAGGGAGTTTAAAATCACAAAAACATGCCATAATCATATCTAATGCACATGTACAAATCCTATGGCAACTTATACATAGTTTTGACTTAAAATTCACAAATCATTACACCATTTCTTACAAAGATTTAGATAAGAGATGTCAACTCAGCATATATCCTTTCTCGTTGACCCACTAGTACCAGAACCTAAAATTGTAAATAACCATGGGTGAAATAAAAATCTCAGTAACCACATATAGCTCATCAAATGTCTAATACCACAGATAACCATGTCAAAGTAGCTGAAAACATTATATAGCATATATATATACACAAAATATCAATACTAAATTATCTTTTTCGCATATAAATCACATTTCAAACACTTTTACATCACAGCATGATCAACTATCTATCAATTCTCTAAAGCTCCCTGGCGTGAAACCATAGGCTCTTTTTAATCAACGACTTGTTGACCTGAGCTCACTTTCAGTAGTAGAAACACCCGACCAAAGGTAATCTAACCCACCTACAGATTATGGTTTCATTCTTCACACGCTTGCAATAAAGGTGTCGTTGACTTCTAACCACGCCCTGACGGGCACTAGGGAGTTGCCAGATTGCCCAATTGTCCAATAATAATAGTCCTATAATATGCTGTACTGGATTACCCATAGTAACAACTGAATAATGCTGCACTGGATGTCCCATGGTGCCAACCCAACCATATAGATTTGTCACTCACAAATTTCCACACATAACCCCACATATCCTGAGTGAACTCTCACCCCTATGATCATGCTCTTTCACAACTTCCACTACTTATACATCTTTTCACAATATATATATATACACTCCTAAAAATCAATAACCTTTTGAATTCATTTCACAATGCAAAATTCATGAGAAAGGGTTACCCGTGTGGCATTCACTTTTACACAGTTATAATAGTTAATAAATATAATAAACTATATGGTTACCTTAATCTTTTTGTTTGTGAGAAAGGGTTTACCCGTGTGGCTTCAACCCTATTCAAGCTCCTTTCTCGTAATTCGTACATCACACACTAGAATTTCTATAGAATTGGTATTCAAAGTCAATTTCTCTATTGACCAAAAGTATCAATTATTGTAATTAAACACTTAATTGCTATCAAATCTATATTTCACACTCAATTATGCACATTACTATTGATCACCCCTCATTTCAAGTTTAAACATTTTCTAACAATTTTTCTCTTACTACTCTCTCTAGATTAGGGCAATTCTTGCCTAAAACTTTAAAACTATATTTTAACCAGTTACAAATCACTAGTTTAACTCTAGAGAACCTTTTTCCTACTATCGGGTAAGAAATCAACTCCTTAAAACTCCTGAATTCACTTTCTCCTTAATTAAGGCTAAGAGAAAATAAGGTAGATTCGGAGGTTAAGACAGTACGTGATTTACCCAATAAGTAATGAGTCAAAAATACCGTCCTTGCTCCTGATTTAGCTTGCCCTAACATAGCCTTGGCTCTTCTCTACTCCAAACTCTCCTCCCACCTTTCTCCCTTTTATTTTTCAAGCTGGACACGTCCCTATTAAACTGATTTTTGGTCTATGCATTGCGGCACATGGCACAGTAAGGAAAATCCTTACTATGCACACCTGCTCTGCTTTAAGACCCTGCTCTTCTACTCATATCTGTTCATATAACATCCCAATGAGTCAAGATATTACTTCATTACCCAAAACTCTAATCCCTACATTAAATCACTAACTCATCCCTATTCAATTATTAACACAGGATTAGAAATTCAGGATGTTACATGACGTGGTTTGTTTCCCATGCTTCTGTGTTTATTCTTAATTGATTTTTAACCATGGTTTAAGCTTAAAGAACAATATTTAAAAAGGGTTTCTTGGGAGCCCATTGTTTTAAAACTAATTATCTTTTAAACCCTTGGGTTATGGTAACTTTTTTTATGGGATTTTATTTAATCATAGTTATCACAATAGTATGTGAGTGTTACATTACAATTTGGTATCAGTTTCAAGCATTTTGAGACTGGTATGTGTGGTTATTGTGTTGGATGGTTTTGCTTGTTGCATTCATGTCTAGAAGTTGGCATATATATTCATTACACTTATCTTTCCTTTGCATAGTTATTTCATTTAATGCTTACTCTTCATTTAGTTACTTCCATCTTTAAGAGGGGAGAGAGGATGGCGAGAAGAAGAATCGCTAGAACTGTTACGGGTGATAACCCATCTAATACAGATATGGTACTAGAGACTAATGAGCTACCACCAGAGAATCACATTCTGGTTGGTCAGAACTTGGAACAATCAAGGAATGAACCATAGGGTAATGAGGCCTTACTATTAGAGATGAGGAGTTTGATGCAAGAAATATGTAATTCAATGTGGGGACAAGGTACATTGAGGAATGATAGGGTAAGAAGAGATAGTAGAATAATTGAGAATGAAGAAGAGATGTATGAGCAAGAAGATGAAGTTTATGAAGAGCACACCCAAGCAATCTGGAGCTATGTGTGGTAGTGGTTCATAGAATTCCATGAATCGAGCATGGAGGAATTTCTCACGGCTTCATCTACTTACCTTTGATGGAACAATGAAGGAGGGCAAAGCTGAAGAGTGGATTGAGAGAATTGAGACAATATTTGAAGTGATGCCTGCTCAAAGGAGCAGAAGGTGACTTTGGTCTTAGTGTTGCTTGTAAAAGAGGCTAAACATTAGTGAAAGTTGGTGAGACCGATAGGTGGAGTCAAGTAGACATGGGATGAGTTCAAAGTGAGGTTTTTTAACTTTTACTTCCCAGTGGCCTTTAGAGCAGAAAAAGAGGCGAAGTTTCATGAATTTAAGCAAGCAAATCTTGATGAAGAAGCTTTTATTGCCAAGTTCAATCAATTGTCAAAGTACTCTACCTATCTTATAAGGAATGATTACTCAAAATGGAAGGCTGAAAGGCTACTTGAGAAGATAAGGCTTGAGTACCGATAACAATTGGCCTTATTTGAGATCAATTCTTATGATGAGATGTGCAATAAGCTGAGAATAGCTATGAAAAGGGGCAAAGAGGCAGAGATTGATAAGAGAAGGGATAGTCAGGGTAGATTCTCATAGTTGCTTGGCCCTACCGGTGAAGTTAGCAAGAGATTCAGTTTTATCTCTGGTAGTTTTTGGAGTTTTAGGAAGAGGAAGACTTTCCAAAGGGGATCACAGTCTCGAGGTTCCTTCCAAATGAGCAGTGGACTGAAGAATAGTAATAGTGGTGTACAGCCATCTCAGTAGGCTTCCACAATGCCTGTGCCTACTCTTCATATAACCAAAACCCCTCAGTGTTCGAAGTGTGGGAGATATCATGTGGAAAAGTGTTGGGTTTACTTCAAGTATGGCAAGACAGGGCACATAGCCAAATATTGTGAAGAGGGTAGAGTGGGTACCATAGAGCAGAGATCGACTGTTCCTGTGAGAGTATTCGCGTTGTCCCAGGAGGAGGCAGGTGTGTCTCCAAATTTAATTAGAGGTAAAATCTCTCTGCACAACTGTGATATAGATGCTTTGTTTGATTTAGTTACTACCCATTCTTGCATTTTTGATGACTGTGTGTTGAGGTTGAAATTGTCTGTGCATACCTTGCCATATGTAATTAATGTGTCCACGCTGGCAGAAAATTCTAAGAACCGACTGTGTTTGTTTGGGTGTTGATTTGAGATTTGAGAATATATCAACTACCATCAATTTGATCTGTTTGCCCATGATTGGGATTGATGTAGTAGTGGTATGGACTGGTTGTCGGCAAACAATGCAACATTAGATTGTGCAAGAAAGATAATATCCTTGCTAGTATACACTACACCCATAGCGAAACCTCGTCAGTCAAGATTCTTGTCTGTAATGCAAGCAGAAATATAACATAATTTTTTACAATTAATGCAATGAGTGTGTAATTTGGATAAATATAACATAATTTTTGGTCAATAATAACAAGGAAAAGTGTTTAATAAATGTGACTTATCAATTCCTCTACACTTACCTTTTGCACTCCAGGCAAAATTCAAAATTAAAAATAAACTCTCTCAAAATCCTAAAGCAAAAACAAAAGTCAAGAAAATTTTCACAAAAAAAGAAGAGATCTTGTTGTCCTAGTTTAGAATACCTCATCAACCACAAGAAAACCATTAAAAAGATGCAATTCTACAAGAATAGTGTATGCACTCAAGCAGTCAAGTGTTTAGGGTTTAATAATTTTACTCAAAGTCTTTAGCAAAAATGTCCTACCATAAGATTGTAATTCCTCTACCTCTCCATTACTGATATGCAAATGTTGTCAAGAGTGAAATGGACTTTAATGGGATGTAATGTGGCTGTAAAATGGATTCTTGGATTTGCATGCAAAAGCTAGGATTTGGATCAAGGAATTAAGTCATGGCCACAATGTAAATATGCAACAACATTCAAATCTTTCTAAGACTCCACTAAGTGGATATAAATTGAAAAATGGATGAAAATGTAAGTAGAATGAATGTAAAAAAAAGAATAGAATATGTGACTTTTAATGCAAGTATTAATCTTTTTTATTCAAACTCTTTCTTTTCTTTTTCACTTTTTGGTTTTCTCACTGATCTATCTCATTATTTTACATATCATACACTTGGTTTTTGGCATCAAATCTTATCATGCATATTAGGGTTTGTTTTTGGGTTTTAGTTGTCTTTCACATATTAACTTTATAGACCCTAATAATGCTATTTGATGGTTCCTTTGACACTTACGAATGTTAACTAAGATTTTTATGCATAAATTCTCTTTTCCTTCCTTTTTAATTGTCTTTTTAGAATTTATTTTGTTTTGTAAACTTTGTTTTCAAATTTTAGAAGATGCAAATTTGGAGCTAAGAGGCAAAGTCAAGTCAATTTCATTTGAGAAACCAAGTGCAAAAGAGAGAAGGGCTGATAAGGCGTCCCATTTCCAAAATTAATCAAGGGTGATGTGGCATCATGTTTTCAAAAATGAAGAAGGCTAAAGTGGTGCCTAATTTAGAAATTAATTAGGGCAATTAAATAAATAAATAAGGATAAGCCTTGAGAAGCATGGAAGACACATCATCATAGGTAAAGAGAGCATGGGAGGTATGATCTATGTTGATTCTAAGAGGGAGATGTGGTGGCAGCTGAAGCAAGACTTGCATTAAGTCACATGGTTCATGCATTAGTTCACATTTCTGATGCTCCTTCATATAGCACATGTGTGTCATTTTCCCTTAATTTTCTAGATTTAATTCTTCAATTTTAATCCACATTTCCAGTTGGAAATAACCACTTCAGATTTAAACGTTAGAATAATCACCACTCAACTTTGGAATTATCACCTTGAGTCACATTATTCACACATATTTAAGCCATATATTCATATTCAAGCCTCATTCTTCATTCTTTATTCTCTCTCGTCATCTGATTCCTTTCAATTTTCTCTCAATTCCCTCTCATTTCCAGCAAAACCTCATGCCACATTTATCAAGTCTTGAAGGTTTGGATCTGGTTCTTCTCTATTTTAGCTCCAATTTCATGTTTCTTGCTTCAATTCTTCATCATTTCAACTTCCATTTTACAAGTCTAGCACTTGTTCTTCATCATTGTTCATCCATTTCCAGATTTGTTCACATCTATTCTAATTCTCCATTTTGCCTTCTTCTTCTCCTTCATCCAACTTCAATTCTGTTCAGATTCTATCCATTATAGCACCATATTTTCATCCATTTCATCTCCATAATTCCAGATCCAAGATGCGCTTTCAAGTTCAAGATCTAATTCATTTGAAGAAGAAGAACTTGAGAGGCTAATCATCTAGAGCTCGAAGAAGGATGACTTGACATTATGAGATTTTTAAATTTATAGTTGTCATTCATTTTTTTTATTTCATGTTCTTGTCTTGATTCAATGAGGATTTCAAATTCTAGACCTACTATTTTGGTTAAATATTTTGTGATTCTAATTAGATTTGATGAGAATGTGAATGTTGAATTTAGATTTTTATGCTAGGTCCAGATTTGGAATTTATGATTTATTAGCTTGATGTTCTAGGGTTATTTCATAAGTTCTTGCTACTTCTTGTTCAAGTTCAGGTTTAAACTTGAGTTAGATCCATATTGATTATATGAATTTAGCTTAAGGTGCTTTTCTTCCACTAGTTTTAGTCTGAAACTTGAGTAAAACAAGGCTAGACATAGTATTAATTCTAAATTCACTTGACCTTGATTTATTACTGTCCATTAAGTTTAATGGTACGCCACACTTAAAGGCTTTTAAATGTCTTATATTAGGTTAATTAAGAAGGTTTATGACATTATAATTTTGAAAATCAATGATTAATATTAAAAAATCTGACTTGGGCTCACCATAATCATTCATTTGATCACATTCTAAACAAAAATTTCATGAACATTTATTGTGCATTTTAGACTAGCTTAGTCACTTGAAAATTCATATAAACTTGTGGCAATTGAACCAATAATTGTATGCTTACTCTCTAGGGAAATGACCTAGAATATTCACTTCTACATTCTAGTAAAAAATTTGATAACCCAAGGCAATTAAGGGTTAAACCCAAGAAAGATGAGAATGTTAAAACACACTTTGAAACCAGTACATGGAATCCATGATAAAATAGGGATGATGTTAAAAGAAGAAAATAAACAAAAGCCTTAAAGGAGAATATGAGTCATCAAGATGAAATTTGCCCCTCATGTTAATTGAGATATATTACTGGGCTCATCAAACAGTAAGACTAAGAAAATGTATAACCATACTACAATGGAAAGGGTTTTTCTATTGCTATAGTTAGTCTATTCAAAGATCGAGAAAGTAATGGTCAGGTAAAGGAGAATAAAAATTTCATATCTCACATTTGATCGGAATATCACATGACAAAAGGAATATGATATGATTATATGATAGGTTGTATTAGATCATCGATCCTCATATGAGTTAGGTAGTTGTAATGTCTTGTTAGAGACCACTTGTAACTTGTGGACTAGTAGTATAATTAGCCTAATGCTAACTTCATGGGGGCCCAACTTGAGCTATAATGTCCAAGTTCATTGAATATGGAATGTATCTAGATTTAATGAATGTAACGCTTTATCTAGGGTGATTAAATTTTATATATATATATATATATATTTAAGTATTTATTTGATAAATATTTATATGTTTATATGAAATATAAAATTCAAAATATAATTTATATATATATATATGTACATATATATTCATATATATATATATAATATAATATGTATATGTGATATATATTATGTTAGTTTTAAATTTAATTTCATATGATAGATTAAATTTAATAACTAACATGATATGAGAGAATATCCTATCAATTCTATAGTTGGAATTTATAAGACAAATTCAAATTAGATATAATATTATAGATTTTATTTATGAGATAAATTTAATCTAAATTTTGGTTGTCTCTTCAAGAGGAAGGAACAAAAATCTAATCTATATATAATAGATAGAAGGGAACGTGCAAAGATAAGAGGAAAATAGAGAAAGTCTCTTGCCAGCAAAAACATTTGAGAGCCACAAAAAATCCCTAATAAACAAAAGGTTGTCTAAATTGATGGATGGATGAACATTAGATACAAAGATTGTTAACACATTGTTCGTGTTGGCAAGCTGTTCTTGTCAATAGAGGGAGTGTAACATCCTAAATTTCTTAATCCTAAATTTAGAAGTTAATCAAGAGTGAAGTGAAAATTAAAGTGGGATTAGAGATTCGGATGATTAATTGGTATTTTAACTTGTTTGTGTATTGTATAAATAGATATGGGTGATAGGAGTGCGTTTTAGGTTGAAGCAAGTGCACGTGATGATAAAAAATCTCACTATGCCAGGCGCCGTGGCGCATGAACTAAAATTTCACTTCATAAGTTGTGAAATTTTAGAAATTTTAGAGGAGAGAATTTGAGAATCATATGAGACAGAGAGAGGAAAAGGGCTGAGGAGCTAGGTTAAGTCATTTTAGAGCGGTGGAAGGTGATTCGGATTGATAACTTACCAGGTAAGCTACGTATAACTCTTACCTTTCATTCTACACAAATTTCTCTGAAAATGAGTTTAGGGAAATTGAATCGATGGAATTTAAGGGTTTTGATTCTTGCCCAATGGTAATAAAAAGGTTCTAAGAAGTTAAATTAGAGCTTTGTGACTAGTTTAGAGCTGAATGGTAGAGCTTTGAACCTGAAGGCTCAATTTTGGCCTTTAGAGAGAGAAAGTTGGGGCAAAAATCTATCTTGAGTGAAATAAGACCGGTTAGAGTGATGTAAAGTAGTAATTGGATAGTTATGAATTTAGAATGGATCAATAGAAAAGAGTTTATGGATGAATATAGCCCTAAATAATAAAAATGAGTTTTTGGTCAAAATGGACTAAATGACTAGAATGTGCCAAATGTGTTTAGATTGGCATATTGGGCGAGTAAGCAGAGAAATAAAGCTTGAGATAAGCTTGTACGATAGTAAAAATCCACGGGTAACCTTTCTAGTGACAGAAGAGTTGAGGTAACCGGATAACTTCCTTTGTTTAACTGTTTATTGTAATTGTATGTTAGTATGCTATGCTATGTAATGCATGAACTGGTTTTGAATTGAGCATTTTTGTGGAAGTAAGTGATTGTGTGTGTAAAATGACTTTTGA